GTGCAAAACAGCTGCTACACCAATGAATACAAATGAGAAATTGTTGTTGAATGATGGTACTGAAGAAGCTAATGTACAATAATATAGAAGCTTGGTAGGTGGTCTTATTTATTTAACTCACAATAGACCTGACATCTCTTACTCTGTTAGAGTAATATCCAGGTTTATGCATACTCCTACAAAGCATCATTATGGAGCAGCAAAAAGAATTCTGAGATATGTAGCAGGAACTCTAGATTTTGGAATATGGTATAAGCAGGTGAAACAATGCAATCTGGTTGGATATACTGACAGTGACTGGGCAAGATGTATGGAAGATCGTAGAAGCACTACTGGGTATGCATTCTATTTTGGATCTGGTGTCATTTCATGAAGTTCAAAAAAACAAGCCACTGTCGCATTATCCTCTTCAGAAGCTGAGTTTATTGCAGCAACTGCAACAGCATGTCAAGGAATTTGGCTAACCAGAATACTAGAAGATCTTGGACAGAAGCAAAGAGAAACAACTCAAATATTTTGTGATAATAAAGCAACAATAGCTATGACCAAGAATCCTGTGTTTCATGGCAGGACCAAGCATATTGATATAAGGGCACATTTTATTAGAAACCTGGTTGCTGAAGAGAAGATAAACTTGCAATATTGCAGTATAGTGAAGAACAAATTGTTGATATCCTCACAAAACCACTTGCACGAAGCAGACATGAGAAATTGAGGAATTTACTTGGTGTGTGAGATTTTGGATCAAAGGGGAGTGTTGAGAAATGATCTAAAATATGGTAACTGTTTCAGCTATAATTTAGGAAAACCTAATCTGCCATCACTCTGTTAGTTAGGATTGTTTATATGCATTCCTGATTTTTCTCTTCCTGTATTTGCACGTTAGTTCCACTCTCAATTAGTGGGAGTTGGTTTTATTTTCAGTTATGTAAAATGCCTATTTAAAGGCTGTATTTGTGATTCAATAAAAATGTGGCAGAGTATTTTATTCAACACTGTGTTGTTTTTGCCATCATCTATTTTATTTCTGTTAAGTTCCAACAGGCTGCACAAGTAACCACATAAACAAAACAAAACAAAACAAAAATACGATATCATCAAAAAAAATCACTTCTTCATTGTTCCCAAGTATACTGTTACTATATCACAAATTTTGAAAACCAATGTAGAGCATAACAGTATGTATTAAGCAAGGTTGTCAAACTCGTGAGTTTATTAGTTCATTAACACTAGTGACAAGAATGTATCAACTCCGTTCCGTAACATGCAATCGAGTCATACTCGGCAATACTCATCAAAACTTTAAAATTACACTAAACTTTCTCACTTTTAGTGTTAAGAATTGCTTACTTACATATGCATACTACGAATTTGTTTCGGAAAATGAAAATCATGCTGTGATCTGCTTGATTTAGATATCAATTATCTAACTTCTAAACATTGCATTACATATTTATTTATTTTTATTTTTATTTTGGAATATAATGGTGGTACTTAGATTTAAACCTATAACCTCATGTAAACTACCCAAACACCCACCACTAGACCAATCCTAGTGGCTTAAACATTATGTTACTCTTCTTCTTCTTCTTTTCAATTAATGACACAATGGTAGTAATTTTGTTGTTATGGATATCAAAACATGTAGTTTCTATTTGGTATTTTACTAAAGTAAGTTAAACTGGCCAAATTGACAATGAAAACCTTGTTATGTAAAAGCACTATTTATGGAGATGGAAAGAAAAAGTGCAAAGGGAACAAATTAGAAAGATACCACTCAATAACACAAACTCCCTGTACATCTTCCCCAATGGACAACAAGTACTCCTTGACCTTATACACAAACTCAGCACCCATCATATTGTCAAGAGCGATATCAATATCGTAACAATCTTTTCCCAGAAGCTGCAAAACCAATCAAACACGAAACGAATCAATGGAAGAAGCAAACAATGAATTAGGGCTAGCTAGCCATTTTCGCAGATAGTGAGGACCTTGTCGCGAACCCGGCCACCGGCGACTCGGAACTGAGTTTGGAGTTGGAAGTGACGAAGAGTGGCGAGAAGCCTATCGAAGATGCTCTTCTCGGTGTCGGAGAGTTCAATCTTGTCACGAACATGGAAAACCTGATGCGTAGACATTGGTGCACATACGCAACTCTGAAACGACGGCGTTGTGGTTCGTATAAGGGTTTTGGCGAGACGGTGAGAGTGGAGAGGAACAACAACGGTTCGTGTCAGTGACAAACAACTCAGCTTCGGTCTAGGAAGTAGCAAAACTAGGCTAGTCGTTATTTTTTATTTTTCTTATAAAAAAAAGAAAACGGTGTGAGACTAGAACTGCTTTGCTTCTTCATCCCAGTGCCATGCTGCTAGTGCTATATGAGATGAGACCGTTGAATTGTATAGCCAATGGAAATGGATCGTCCCAGAATAAATGGGTCGGGTTCTCAAAGGAAGTATGCAACAGATTTATTGAAAAGGTTCCATATGATGGGGTGCAAAACAGCTGCTACACCAATGAATAGAAATGAGAAATTGTTGCTGATTGATGGTACTGAAGAAGCTAATGTACAACAATACAGAAGCTTGGTAGGTGGTCTTATTTATTTAACTCACACTAAACCTGACATCTCGTACTCTGTTGGAGTAATATCCAGGTTTATGCATACTCCTACAAAGCATCATTATGGAGCAGCAAAAAGAATTCTGAAATATGTAGCAGAAACTCTAGATTTTGGAATATGGTATAAGCAGGTGAAACAATGCAATCTGGTTGGATATACGGACAGTGACTGGGCAGGATGTATGGAAGATCGTAGAAGCACTACTGGGTATGCATTCTATTTTGGATCTGGTGTCATTTCATTGAGTTTAAAAAACAAGCCACTGTCGTATTATCCTCTTCAGAAGCTGAGTTTATTGCAGCAACTGCAACAACATGTCAAGGAATTTGGCTAACCAGAATACTAGAAGATCTTGGACAGAAGCATAGAGAAGCAACTCAAATTTTTTGAGATAATAAAGCAACAATAGCTATGACCAAGAATCCTGTGTTTCATGGCAGGACCAAGCATATTGATATAAGGGCACATTTTATTAGAGACCTAGTTGCTGAAGAGAAGATAAACTTGCAATATTGCAGTAGTGAAGAACAAATTGATGATGTCCTCACAAAACCACTTGCACGAAGCAGACATGAGCAATTGAGGAATTTACTTGGTGTGTGTGATTTTGGATCAAATGGGAGTGTTGAGAAATGATCCAAAATATGGTAACTGTTTCAGCTATAATTTAGGAAAATCTAATCTGCCATCACTCTGTTAGTTAGGATTGTTTATATGCATTCCTGATTTTTCTCTTCCTGTATTTGCACGTTAGTTCCACTCTCAATTAGTGGGAATTGGTTTTCTTTTCAGTTTTATAAAATGCCTATTTAAAGGTTGTATTTGTGATTCAATAAAAATGTGGCAGAGTATTTTATTCAACACTGTGTTTGTTCTTGCCATCGTCTATTTTGGAGTTGGAAGTGACGAAGAGTGGCGAGAAGCCTATCAAAGATGCTCTTCTCGGTGTCGGAGAGTTCAATCTTGTCACGAACATGGAAAACCTGCTGCGTAGACATTAGTGCGCATACACAACTTTGAAAAGACAGCGTTGTGGTTCGTATAAGGGTTTTGGCGGGACGGTGAGAGTGGAGAGGAACAACAACAGTTCGTGTCAGTGACAAACAACTCAGCTTCGATCTGGGAAGTAGCAAAACTAGGCTAGTCGTTGTTTTCGAAGCCAGTCTCATGGGCTTCCTTTTATTTTATTTTTTATTTTTCTTATAAAAAAAGAAAACAGCGTGAGACTGGAACCGCTTTGCTTCTTCATCCCAATGCCATATTGCTAGTGCTATATGAGATATGACCATTGAATTCGAGAGCCAATGGAAATGGATCGTCCCAGAATAAATGGGTCGGGTTCTCAAAGGAAGTATGCAACAGATTTATTGAAAAGGTTCCATATGATGGGGTGCAAAACAGCTGCTACACCAATGAATACAAATGAGAAATTGTTGCTGAATGATGGTACTGAAGAAGCTAATGTACAACAATACAGAAGCTTGGTAGGTGGTCTTATTTATTTAACTCACAATAGACCTGACATCTCTTACTCTGTTGGAGTAATATCCAGGTTTATGCATACTCCTACAAAGCATCATTATGGAGCAGCAAAAAGAATCTGATATATGTAGCAGGAACTCTAGATTTTGGAATATGGTATAAGCAGGTGAAACAATGCAATCTGGTTGGATATACGGACAGTGACTGGGCAGGATGTATGGAAGATCGTAGAAGCACTACTGGGTATGCATTCTATTTTGGATCTGGTGTCATTTCATGGAGTTCAAAAAAACAAGCCACTATCGCATTATCCTCTTCATAAGCTGAGTTTATTGCAGCAACTGCAACAGCATGTCAAGGAATTTGGCTAACCAGAATACTATAAGATCTTGGACAGAAGCAAAGAGAAACAACTCAAATTTTTTTTGATAATAAAGCAACAATAGCTATGACCAAGAATCCTGTGTTTCATGGCAGGACCAAGCATATTGATATAAGGGCTCATTTTATTAGAGACCTGGTTGCTTAAGAGAAGATAAACTTGCAATATTGCAGTATAGTGAAGAACAAATTGCTGAATTCCTCACAAAACCACTTGCACGAAGCAGACATGAGCAATTGAGGAATTTACTTGGTGTGTGTGATTTTGGATCAAAGGGGAGTGTTGAGAAATGATCTAAAATATGGTAACTGTTTCAGCTATAATTTAGGAAAATCTAATCTGCCATCACTCTGTTAGTTAGGATTGTTTATATGCATTCCTGATTTTTCTCTTCCTGTATTTGCACGTTAGTTCCACTCTCAATTAGTGGGAGTTGGTTTTCTTTTCAGTTATGTAAAATGCCTATTTAAAGGCTATATTTGTGATTCAATAAAAATGTGGCAGAGTATTTTATTCAACACTGTGTTTGTTTTTGCCATCGTCTATTTTATTTCTGTTAAGTTCCAACAGGCTGCACAAGTAACCACATAAACAAAACAAAACAAAAATACGATATCATCAAAAAAAACAACTTCTTCATTGTTCCTAAGTATACTGTTACTATATCACAAATTTTGAAAACCAATGTAGAGCATAACGGTATGTATTAAGCAAGGTTGTCAAACTCGTGAGTTTATTAGTTCATTAACACTAGTGACAAGAATGTATCAACTCCGTTCCGTAACATGCAATCGAGTCATACTCGGCAATACTCATCAAAACTTTAAAATTACACTAAACTTTCTCACTTTTAATGTTAAGAATTGCTTACTTACATATGCATACTACGAATTTGTTTCGGAAAATGAAAATCATGTTGTGATCTGCTTGATTTAGATATCAATTATCTAACTTCTAAACATTGCATTACATTTTTTTTTTTTTTTTTTTTGGAATATAATGGTGGTACTTAGATTTAAACCTATAACCTCATGTAAACTACCCAAACACCCACCACTAGACCAATCCTAGTGGCTTAAACATTATGTTACTCTTCGTCTTTTTCTTTTCAATTTATAACGCAATGGTAGTAATTTTGTTGTTATGGATATCAAAACATGTAGTTTCTATTAGGTATTTTACTAAAGTAAGTTAAACTGGCCAAATTGACAATGAAAACCTTGTTATGTAAAAGCACTATTTATAAAGATGGAAAGAAAAAGTGCAAAGGAACAAATTAGAAAGATACCACTCAATAACACAAACTCCCTGTACATCTTCCCCAATGGACAACAAGTACTCCTTGACCTTATACACAAACTCAGCACCCATCATATTGTCAAGAGCGATATCAATACCGTAACAATATTTTCCCAGAAGCTGCAAAACCAATCAAACACGAAACGAATCAATAGAAGAAGCAAACAATGAATTAGGGCTATCTAGCCATTTTCGGATATAGTGAGGACCTTGTCGCCAACCCAGCCACCGGCGACTCGGAGCTGAGTTTGGAGTTGGAAGTGACGAAGAGTGGCGAGAAGCCTATCGAAGATGCTCTTCTCGGTGTCAGAGAGTTCAATCTTTTCACGAACATGGAAAACCTGTTGCGTAGACATTGGTGCGCATATGCAACTCTGAAACGACGGCGTTGTGGTTCGTATAAGGGTTTTGGCAGGACGGTGAGAGTGGAGAGGAACAACAACCGTTCGTGTCAGTGACAAACAACTCAGCTTCGGTCTGGGAAGTAGCAAAACTAGGCTAGTCGCTATTTTCAAAGCCAGTCTCATGGGCTTCCTTTTATTTTATTTTTTATTTTTCTTATAAAAAGAAGAAAACAGTGTGAGACTGGAACCGCTTTGCTTCTTCATCCCAGTGCCATACTACTAGTGCTATATGAGATGAGACCGTTGAATTGGAGAGCCAATGGAAATGGATCGTCCCAGAATAAATGGGTCGGGTTCTCAACTCCATAGACCAATACTTCTTTCTTTTTCTTTTTTCTTTATTTAAAAGAACCAAGAAATGGGTTGGTTGCAACATAAGTTCATTTATATTTTATAATTCTTAATATGTATTGAAAATTTGATAGGCTTAAATAGACTAATATGTGAATTGTTTTGACTCTTTAATGGGATAGGATATTGCTCATCTTTTTCAATGCATTATTTACTTTCTCGAACATCGTTAGATCACAATTTTATCAAATAATGAGAGGAGAGAGAAAATGTAAAGTTCGACTGAGATTATAATTTAATGATATTAGAAAAAAAATAGACATGAAAAATATAGGAGTAATATCATCTCCTTTTTTTACTATAGGCGATCTAGCTTATATCAACCTAATAGGTGAGTTCAAGGTAAGGTTAGACTTTGATTTAAATAGGTCAAGTCTATTCTTATTTTTTTTTGGAATTCTCCTATTTTTTATCCAAAAATAAAAATAAAAATAAAAATAGGTAAGTTCAAGCTCAAATAGGAATAGGTCTGCGCCCAACCCATTTACCCCATAGCCACAAAAGGCCTTGTTTCGATTAGTGGCCGAAAGTGAAAAGGATGAGGGTGTTTTGGAGTGGATGCATGTTCCATCGTTTGCTGTTATTTTAAGCAAAATTGCTCAAACATTACAACTATTCATATAACGTTACATATAATTGTTCCAACTGGTCCAATCCGCTAATTCAATTGAATGAAGGTTGATGTTTGCATTTCGTTCATGAATTGTCATAGTGTCATTGCAAGTTGACATATGTCCGTGTTTCTTAAAAATTATACATAATAAACAACTAACTATATGTAGTCTAGCTTGACTAGGTGGAGATAGCAGCATGTTAGGTTCTAAGAACCTAAGGAAGAACATAATAGAAAAGAAGGAAAGAACAGAGAATTTGTATCGAGTTTTTTTATTGAATGACTTTCTATCTCATATTCCATAGTATTATATACAAACATATCAACTAACTCACTTGCCACCTATCTATCTACGTGTAAACTAACTAACTCATCACCCAATGAATACATGCACACTATACACGTGTGAACCAACTGTTTCACCACTTCTTTAACTACATGCAACTAATACTGATACAATTATATGACTTCTTCAAGCAACAAAGTCAGTTAATCTCGATGAATGCTTCTTGTCCCTACTTGATCTTCTTAGTGTAACATTTCCCTCTCCTTCAACAATGACCTTGTCCTCAAGGTCGAGAGATGGGTAGCAGTGACGCAAATCTTGCTCTTTCTCCCATGAAGCATCTTCAGGAACTGTGTTAGACCATTGAACCAAAAACTCACGTATTTGTTGTCCCTGGCAAAAAGAATGGTGTGTGCCTAGGATTGATACTGGAACCTGCACAGGTCTGTTATCAACAGCTGAAGGAGGTAGTGGATTCGGTACAATTAGTATAGAGCCTATACAAGGTTTCAGCTGCGAAACATGAAACACTGGGTGAATTTGGCTCCCTGGAGGTAGCTGCAACTCATATGCAGTAGTCCCTAACCTTCGAAGAACTTCAAAGGGACCAAAAAATCGTTTAGCCAGTTTGTGATTGGTTCTTCTTTCAATTGTTACTTGTCTATATAGTTGTAATCAGGCCCAAACTTTATCTCCCACATTAAATGAACGCTCCTTGTGATGTTTATCAAATTGAACCTTCATATGGTTCTGAGCCCGCTGCAAATGGACCTTAAGCTGAGTTAAAACTTCATTTCTTTGCTGCAACATTGTATCAATTACTTCCAATTTAATCAATCCTCTCGGATAAAAAGGTATCATGATTGGAGGCTTCCCAAAGACTGCCTGATAAGGAGACATGCCAATAGCTGAATTGTAGTGGTATTGTGCCCAACACAAGAAATTGCACCAAGAACTTGGTTGCTCATAACAAAAGGAACGTAAATACTGTTCAAGGTATCTGTTGGTCACTTCTGTTTGACCATCAGATTGTGGATGGTACGAAGAAGTAGTCCTTAAAGTAGTACCACTTAATTTGAATAAATGGCTCCAAAACTTGCTTAAAAAGATACGATCTCTGTCTGTCAATATTGATCGAGGAAAACCATGAACTCTTACTACCAATTCACAAAATAAAGTTGCAACTGTGAATGCTGTATAAGAGTTTGGTAAGGGACCAAAATAAGCAAATTTAGATCTATCTACAACAACTAAGACAGTTGTGAATCCTTTCGATGGAGGTAATCCAGATATAAAATCCATGGAAAACTCCTCAAAAATACCTTCCGGAATTGGAAGTGGCTGCAACAACCCTGCAACTTTATATGTCTCATATTTTACTTGTTGACATATATGACAATTCTGAACAAATTGTTTAACATCTTTCTTCATAGATGACCAATGAAATGTAGCTGTCAATCTCAAATAGGTCTTTAATACACCCGCATGCCCTCCAATCAATGAAGAGTGAGCTTCTTTTATTAATAAAGGAATCAAAGATGAAAACAGAAAAAGAAGTGATCATGGTTTACCTTAAGGCTTGTGAAAACAGAAAAAAGGAGGTGGCTTGAAGCTTCCCACACAGCTCTACAACTCTGACTTCACAAGACCACAAATTTAACTCACAAGCTTGGTCTTTTACACAAGAAAATAGCTTCTTGAAGCCACAACTGTCAAGGAAATGACCTCAACACCACTAACTAATGGAGTCAACCCTTCAGTTTTTAGTTTTCGTTTGAATTTGTGTTTTACAGTTTTCAAGATTAATATAATTTTCATTTTTTGTTTTCTGTCCTTCGCATGTTCTTCCTTTCCTTTCTTATATTTTCGTTTTCCACCTAGCCATGCAAGGCTAAGCATCCTTTAATTAACCCAAGAGTTGAGGATTCCATGGTTGAATCCCGAGGACTTGCGCTTCATCTTGAACCAATTTTGTTTCTCTTCCCTTAACTCAGATTGAACATCGTGTGATTATGGGTTTTGAATCTAAGATTTGCAATTGCACTCTAGGGAAGGGGTTAAGCGTTAGATTTAATGTTTAGGTTGATTAACTCAATGATCTTAAGTCGAACAAGTTGATACTTCGCAATTGCGTGAGTAGACGTGCCAAATCTGACCAAATGCTAGGCGATTGTCTAGAGAGAGGTTGTTAAACGAATGCAAGGATTCTGGTTTGTTTATGATCAACCACAATTTGGGTAATTATTTGTCCAATGATGAATGTCCTTGGAATCCCAATTCTTGAGTTAGTTGTTTTTAAATTGACATTTTCATTTTCAAATTCATGTTTTTACTTTTCATCTTTAATCGCATAAAATCCCCCTTTTTACTTCCTGTTTTTAATTGATCAATTGAGTTCCTTGCAAATTCCTTGAGAGAGACAATTTAGGTTGTGCCCTCTACTACAAATTCTTATAATTTGGTAATTTGCGTCAGTTCGACGACTCACGTCATTGGACCTCCTGATTGATATCTTTGCCTTAACTTGGAGGGGGAGTGTTGTAGATGCTAGTAGAGATAAATTAGGTGATTGTAATCATATGTCAAATATAGCCCATAAAGCGGGCAACAAATCTTCAGATCTCTTTGATTGTGAGCAAAGTAATTTGGCCCAATTATTGTATCACCTACTATTTATATTTAAGGGAACCCTCCTTGATCATCATTGAGATGGGGAGAAACATCATTAGTGTGGACGTAGGCCAAATGGCTGAACCACGATAAATTCATGTGCCTTTTTATTTTCTAACAATTAAAAATAGTTTATTTTAATTAGGAGTTAGGCCCTATATACTTTTAGACACCAAGGAATAAGGGTGTTCATCAACCAATCCAAACTGATTTAAACCACGGTGACCAAACTGAAAAATTGATAACCAAATTAATTGAAAATCGAAAAACCAAAATTCAAAAAAAATCGCATATTTTAATTGGATTGGATCCAATCCAAACTGATTCAATGTATTATGTATTTATTATTTTCGAAAGATGGTGACTTAAAATCTTGTTATTTTGTAGATTTGGAATCTTAGATATTATTAATAGCAAATTATCTTGTTTTAGTTTTTTATTGTCTATTAATTTATTTTAACTCTTCATTGAGTTTTAAGACTTGTTTTAGTTTGAAAACTTGAATTTTTCAATGGTTTATAATTTTGAATGACTTTATTTTGATATAGCTAGTGATTTGTATGACTAAAATTATAGGCTTTCCGAAAAACCGAAAATCGATCTAACCCAAAGTTAAATGGATGATTAAATGATCAAATCGAAAGGATTGGATGACTTTTGCTTCAAAACTGATCCAATCCAGACCGCGAACATCAATGTTGTGAAACCCGACCCGACTCGGCCGGTCGACCCGGAACCCGACAAATCGATCATCAAACCAGTCAGGTCAAAAATTGGACCAGTCATAGATCAAACCCAGTTGAAACCCGGACAAAACTGGTCAAACCCGGTGACCCAGTCGGGTAACACATTTTTACATAGAAAACAAAAAAAAAATCAAAATTATTTCATTTTGTCAGAAAAAAAATGTAGAACTTTTTTTTATTAATTTTATTTGGTAGTAGTATAATCTTTTATAATTACCTCAAATTTGAGCTTCTAATACTAAAGTAATTTACGGAACAATAAATTAAGAGAATGAGACATATGTCA